TTTTCAAATACTTTGTATAATATTATATATTATAATATAAATGTACATGTAAATATTATATACATATTATAAAAATATAAATATTGTACATATATTATAAAAATATATAAATATTATATCTATATTACAAATAATCAATTATAAATATTATAAATAAAAAACAAAACATATTGAAATAAACTGTATACGTTATAAATTTCCCTCAAATTAAAAATAAGGCAATAATTCTTTTTATTAGTAGAAGTATTATAGGAGATTCTTTCATTAAGCAGATAAAGTGTGAGCTATGGGCCGGTATCACAGTCTCCGATTAACGTGATCCTCTGATTAAACTCACTCTTCGTTTCTTTCTAGGGGGACAGTTAGAAAGAGATGCAGAGTGAGTTTAATCGGAGGATCACGTTAATCGGAGACTGCAGTGATACCGGCCCTATGTCAACGCGATTAATCAAGGAAGTAGCATAAAACATTTCTTTACGTATATCCAAGATTCAATCTTTTTGTCAAGATTTGATATCAGTAATACGCGTAGTTCATTATTGTAAAAAAAAATGAAATTTGGAAGCTTATGCAGAGATAATTATGTTACGTACAATAAATTACATTACTATAATTAATTACACGGTCTTCTGTATATAACAGGTATAAGAAGTATATTTTTATTTTTATTAATTTATGTTTTTTTATTTGATGATCCAACGGGAATTGTCGTCATGCGTCACAACAAACTGAACTACCTATAATTGTTGGCTCTGCAACTGTTTAAATAAAACAAACAACATTTTAAATTTTAACAAAGTTATCTTATATCAATTGCGTGCTATAGAAATTTGTTTCCACCATATTTGTTCCATAAACAGTTCAATATTTTTCAAGCGTTTCTTTCTATAATAATTTTATTAAATTATTTTATACTACAGTTATTGATAATCTTATCTTGTCAAAAAGAAAATTAAGTTAATTGCTAACCAGATAATTATCAATTTAAATGTGAAATAATGGCCAATTTCTTCTGGGTTTCACACAACATCTTCTCTTTATTTTTCATATCGCATTTCAATCCACTCGTACAAATATTGAAATATACGACATGCATAATTTGGCGAACAAAATTCAACAGCGAAGTTCAAAGCTTATTCAACTTTCTCAGCCCATCGAACATTAATGCATAATAGCAGCCAAAGAAATTTGCAAAATACATATGCGCTTTACGTTAAGTAATTGTGTATTAATTTGTATGAAGATGTACACACATATTTACCATATTTCAGCATTTTGAATATCTAAAGCGTAACGATATGAAATTGATCTCAGTTTTTGTGCAGTTATTAAACCCGTATAGAAAGAATTTAAGTAGTTCAAGAATATTATTCTCTCAGCGTCACAAAGGTACCTTCCACTATTTAAGCCACTAGGTGTACGAGATCTATAACCCCGTGTGACCCATTCTTCCGCTAACTTGAAAAACTTTGCTTCCCATGCAGTCATTCTCGGTAAAATGCATGGAGAAGTGACTTTAAAGAAAGATGCGTACCATATAACATTACGTAACATCTGAAAACAACATTAAAGTTATTATATTTAAATGTTTAAAAGATGAATACTAGTGAAACTGTAGTAATTTGTATAAAAGAGATAGTACCTCTTTTTTGTTAGGAAAATATTGATACAAATAGTTTATCCAATCTTGAGTGTCTATACTTTCCAGTGCAAATTCGTGAAAATAAGATTTAAGAAACGGTTTGAATACTGAGGATCCTCCTAACATATACTCTAGACGATTTAAGAGCACGCATCCACACTCGTAAGGCACGTATTTAGTAGCTTCATGGGGCAACAAATTCGTCAAATTTGGTATCAAGCATTTTAGTGAGCCAGAATTCTTTAATTTTTGAATCTATAATACAATTCAGAAGATAATAAAGTAAGAATGCAAGAAAAATGTGCGTGTGTGTGTGTTTGTTGGGAATACAATGCAAAATATTGTCACCCGGTAACATTATTTATTAATCCATTTCTTTTATTAAACTAACGTTAACACCGTTCAGGTCATCTAGTTCTTCCCTGTCGAGGAAAGACTTCATATCTTCAAGAATCGGTAGTTTGCTTTTAATTTTCCTGCTAATAAAAATGCTAAAACTCTTATTCACAACCACAGATGCTCATAATTGGAACATGTAACTAAATTTCCTGCCTAGCTCTGTGAGATATTTCGAGCGAGTGAACTGATACAAGACTGATCTCCGCCAAGTAGAGTCGGCGAAATAAATGTCACGCATGGACATTCTATTTCGAAGTGGGCGAGACTTGGTGGAAGCACGCATATATCATATCTCTCTAGAAATATTTGAGATGTAATAATAAGAAATAATAACAATGAATAAAGAAGGGAGAATTGATAATACAAAAAGGTAAAAATCGTTATATGCATAAATTTAAATAAACCAATATCTACAGTTGATGATTACCCCAAAAATAAGGTCCGCACACACTTTCGGCAATCTTCAACATTCTCTTTGTCGTAATAATTTTCGAACAAAACGTATTGAAACTTTGTCTAATAATTTTGCTTTCGGCGAATATTGTATATGTTCTTGCATTAAGTGCATCAAGTGGTTTTTTCTTTAGTAAGCCCACAGCAATAATCACTGCATAAGATGGTACCAGATTTGTTTGATGGAATTCACATATGTTTAGTTCCCCACTCTCGTATACATTTTTCAAAATTGCGGACATTATAGAACTGTAAAATTTTTTGTTACTGAAATCTAAAAAATAAAATACAAAAATAGATAATCATTAAAAATTAAATTAATACTTTATTTTAATTTAATTAAAACAGCTTATGAAAATAGTATATTGTACAACTAGTGGGAAAAGTGGTCAATTTTGAATGAGTGTGAAGTTGGGCTCGACCACTCTTCCCACGAGTTGTTCATACTATTTTTTCTAACAAAAGCGTGAAACAGGCCGCTTTTCGCGCTTGTTTTACAATTTCATTTCTCCATTAGTTGAGAAATGGCTCCATTTTTCAACTAGTGGAGAAATGGATCGTTTTGCTCACTCAAAACAAGTGCGAAAAGCGGCCCATTTCACGCTCGCGTTAGGAAAATTAAATTTTATAAAAATATGAATATTTATGTTTGAACATATTTCATTTCTTTGCAAACTTTTATTACTTTTTTAAATAATATATTAATAACAATCAATAGTATATCTGTGTTTTCATGAATAAATACAAAACATGCAAATACTACCTGTGCTTAAATTCTTATTATAGCAGTGTATGTAGATTTGACAGACGGTGTATCCTGGCAGGGAAACCATGCTCTAGCATAGTTAACTGAAAAAATAGACACTTTTATATAATCTATGTTAATGTAGAAAAACGCTTTTGTTTTATAGCCAGTTTACCTTGTTGTGAGACAGTAGAAAGGGATGTTCACCATCGGCAGTTTGCTCAGGCGTTAGCCAATATAATGAAGGAAAATTTGAACTTGTTTTATATTCAATTTGAATTGTACATCTGAAAGCATTATACTATCATGTGTACATCAATTACTTTCAACTATAATTTTTAAAATATCTGTGTATTAAATATTTTTTTAATATATGTATTTCTTGAAATTTACAGTTTTGTTTTATATTTACCGATTACTATAAATTTCTACGCTTTGTAGTAACTGAATAGCAAATTTACTTCCATATGCACCACAATATCCAATTTCATAATTTAAAGAAGTTCCAGTAGTAAAATTTGTGACACTTGATATAGTTAATCTGTAGCTATCTAGAATCTAAAAAATTGCGTTATATTACATATTAATCCAAACGATCCAAACCTTAAACTTGTTCAATATAAAAGAAAATGTCTACTCACTATTTTGTAACTTGAAGGTTCCCTTTCTATAGTCAAAAATCGCTTTTCCCTCAATAACTCTTCCGTTAAAATTTAAATTCAATTCTAAACGAGTATCAATTACACGTGCGAATTCTAATGATTAAAAAAAGATATATATCTTATATATATAAATGTAGATGTCCTGACTGACTGACTCACTCATCAACGCCCAGCTCAAACCCCTGAACCTAGAAACTTGAAATTTGGAGGGTGTATTCCTTTCATGACGTAAGCATCCACTAAGAAAGGATTTTTAGAAATTCAACCCCTAAGGGGGTGAAAAGGGTTAAAATGTGTTTTAAGGGGGTGAAAAGGGTTAAAATGTGTTTTCATGGATTCGTTAATATCTTTTAGGCTTAATGAGATAATTTTTATCAAAAATTTTTATCAAAAGTTTTAAGGGGGTGAAAAGGGTTAAAATGTGTTTTCATGGATTCGTTAATATCTTTTAGACTTGATGAGATAATTTTTATCAAAAATTTTTATCAAAAGTATATGAATAAGAAAGAATTTTTAGAAATTCAACCCCTAAGGGGGTGAAAAGGGTTAAAATGTGTTCTAAGGGGGTGATACAATATCATGTTCTAACATAATAATAATTGCAGGAATATAAAATAGGAATCCAAGAATTAAAATTATGTGCATAAATTTTGTATTGACATATTTTTAACTCATTATGTTATTATTAAGCTATTACATAATTGAAAATGCAGAATTAATATGTGATTGTGAAATCATCAGCTAATACAGTCTTTTTTTCATATTATGTAAATATAGCTACATACTAAATTGATCGATAATAATGCGCACGCGATTTGCGGTGACGTCGTCATGCACGTTGAACATAGTATACTAATATTTTTTTAAATGTAAGATTTCAAACTTCACTATAAAATTGTCAAAACCGTTATAGTGCGAATGGTTTAACATTACGAGGTTATAGAATATATTCGTAAAGAAAAAGATAAAAATTAAAGAAAAGAAAAGAAATTGTTCCAAATAAGGGAAAGAGAGAGAGAGAGACAGAGAGAGAGAGAGAGAGAGAGAGAGAGAGAGAGAGAGAGAGAGAGAGAAAATAAGGTATTTATAAAATAAAAAATATTATTTCAGTATGTTTAATTTATTTATATTTTATAAAATGCCTATATTATTGTTTTAGTATGTTTTAATTGGTGTACTTCCGTTCACTTTTCAGTCAATTTTTGGTTGATATGTATGCTAAAATAGAGACTGAAAGGTTGAATTATATTAGGAATAACCAGGTGCAGTTGAGGGCAGATAGTTACATTCATTTGAGAGACGCCATGGGAAAGCAGGATGCTGACGTTGCTCAGATGGGTCAAATGGTGGTGCTTCCGTCATCATTCACTGGAGGACCACGCTATATGCATGAGCGAACTCAGGACGCTATGACATACGTCCGTTTTTACGGTCGTCCTGATCTGTTTATTACTTTTACTTGTAATCCAAAGTGGAAGGATATCACAGATGTACTGCTTCCTGGCCAAAAATCTCACGATCGACACGATATTATAGCTAGGGTATTTCATCTCAAGGTGAAGAAAATGATGGCTCTTTTAAAAAAGGGTGATTTGTTTGGAAAAGTGACGTGTTTCATGTACTCTGTGGAATGGCAAAAACGAGGTTTGCCTCATATTCACATCTTGCTGTGGCTAGAGCAGCGCATCTTTAATAATATGATCGACAAAGTCATATGTGCTGAAATACCTGATCCCGTGAAAGACTCTCTTCTTTATAATATTGTCAAGGCCAATATGATTCATGGGCCCTGCGGGGGCTTAAACCGTAATTCGCCATGTATGAAAGGAGGCAATTGCAGCAAGAGGTATCCCAGGCAACTTCTAAAGGACACTCAGACAGGAAACGATGGATATCCGCAGTATCGGAGAAGGTCTCAAGCTGATGGTGGATTTACCGTAAAAATCAATGAAATAGAGCTGGACAATCGTTGGGTGGTGCCCTATAATCCTGTTTTGTTACGTACTTTCAATGCTCATATTAATGTGGAATTATGTAATTCAGTTAAATCTATAAAGTATATTTGTAAGTACGTGAATAAGGGCAGTGATCAAGCGACTTTTGCCTTAGAGAATAAGAGGGATGAGGTAAAATTGTACGAGAGTGGACGGTATATTAGCAGCTCAGAGGCAGTTTGGAGAATCTTGGCGTTTCCTATTCATGAGAGGTATCCTGCTGTCTTTCATCTAGCTGTACACCTCGAGAATGGTCAGCGTGTATACTTTAATTCCAAAAACTTAGTTGAGAGGATTAGTAATCCACTTCAGACAACACTCTTGGCTTTCTTCGAGCTGTGCAAAACCGACGATTTTGCAAAAACTCTTTTGTACTGTGAGGTTTCTTTTTATTTTGTGTTTAAAAATAACAAGTTTGAGAGAAGAAAGCGGGGAATGAATGTCGATGGCTGGCCAGGAATAAAGAAGGACAATGTGCTGGGAAGAGTGTATACCATCCATCCAAATAACACAGAGTGTTATTATCTTCGCATGTTGCTGTATGAGATTCGAGGTCCAACATCATTTTTAGAATTGAAAACTGTAAATGGTGTTGTCTGTTCCACATTCCAGTCTGCATGCAAGGTATTAGGTTTGCTGGAAGATGACAAACACTGGGACAATACATTGGAGGAAGCTGCTTTGTGTGCTTCTTCCTTCAAGCTGCGGGAGCTTTTTACAGTGATGTTGGTATTCTGTCAACTTAACGAGCCTATGAGTCTTTGGGAAAAGTATAAAGACAGCCTCTCAGAAGATATTACACGACAAGTGGAAAGAGAGTTGCAAAGCAGTGCGCAGCAGATAATGGACGAGGTGTATAACAGATGTTTGGTGATGATTGAAGACGCAGTATTGGCTTTGGGAGGACAGGAGTTACAACAATATGGTCTGTCTCAGCCAAAAAGGTTAGGAGAAGTTTTGAGAAATCGGGATTATCTGAGAGAAACAAATTATGATGTAAACATCTTAGCACAAGTGGTGTCGAATAACGAGGGTTTACTAACAGATGAGCAGTTCGCTGTCTATCGGCAGGTCCTTAGCAGTATTGAATTAAGTGCTGGTCAGGTCTTTTTTCTAGATGCTCCAGGTGGTACTGGAAAAACTTTTCTCATTAATTTACTTTTGGCAAAAGTAAGAAGTGATTGTGGCATTGCCTTGGCTGTTGCATCCTCTGGCATTGCTGCTACGCTGTTAGAGGGAGGCAAGACCGCTCACGCTGCTTTTAAGCTGCCCCTCAATCTAAACTATGTAGAAACACCCTTGTGCAATATTTCAAAACAAAGCAACATGGCCCAAGTGTTGCGGGACTGTAAGCTCATTGTTTGGGATGAGAGCACCATGGCACATAAAGGGGGTTTTGAAGCATTGAGTACAACCTTAAAAGATATTAGGGGTAACGATGGAGTGATGGGGGGAGTCACTGTGCTGCTGGCTGGAGACTTCCGACAGACTTTGCCTGTAGTGCAAAGGGGAACTCGAGCTGATGAGGTTAAAGCATGCATTACCCAGTCAGAAATGATTAGTTGATTCGACGTTGAATCAATGTCGAAAACCGAATGTCGAATCAACGTCGTAATTCTGGTCGATTCGACGTCGAAAGCGTATAAAATATCACCGACTATTCAACTTATCGTTTCAACGTCGTTTCAACGTCGAAGGTTGAAATTTGATTGAAATATAGTATATTATATATTTTATATTTTTTTATATATGCAGTGTTTGTCTGGATAGGTCCTAAATATAAAATTTATATATATTATTTATACATATGTGATTGATCGCGCAATTACGCCATTTCTTAAACGTCCATAAAATTATTTTGTACAATTTACATAAACAATGTCGTAATATTTTTTAGGATTAAAATCTAAATTGATCGAATTTTATAAGTGCGCACTCAAAACAGCGCTATTAATCGCTTTGACGTTGAATCGACACTGGACATGATCGATATTGCAGGAATATCGACTTTCTTATCGACTCAACCAGCTGTCAACCATATCGACGTTGAATTAACCTTGAATCAAGGTTACATTTCTGACTGGGTAAGGCATCATATTTATGGTCTCTTATCTGTAAACTCTCTCTCAAAAAGAATATGAGGGTATATTTGAAAGGTGATGTCTCCGCGGGGCAATTCTCGAAAATTCTACTTGAAATAGGGGATGGAAAATATCCCGAGTCTGAGGGAAAGGTGATTATTCCAGAAGATTTAGGCTTAGTAGTGACAACCTTAGCTAACCTTATTGACAAAATATACCCTGATATTGTTGATATCAAAAAGAAATCTATGGACTGGTTGTGTGAGCGTGCAATTTTGACTCCTAAGAACGATAAAGCTGGTGTTATTAATGACACTCTACTTAAATCATTAGACGAGATAGAAATGGAATACAGATCTGTAGACTCGGTGGTACAAACAGATGACGCTGTCAATTAACCCGTGGAGTTCCTAAATAGTTTGAACCCTCCTGGTTTACCCACTTACAAGCTTCGACTTAAAGTGGGGGCTCCAGTGATGTTGCTGCGAAACCTCAATCCACCAAAACTTTGTAATGGAACCAGGTTGCGAGTAAAGGCACTCTATAGGAATGTTATCGAGGCCACAGTGTTCACCGGCTGTGCTCGGGGAGATACAGTGTTTATACCACGTATACCACTCATACCATCAGAGTACCCTTTCGAGTTTAAAAGGCTGCAATTTCCTATCAAGGTTTGTTTTGCGATGACCATTAATAAGTCACAGGGACAGTCGCTGAAAGTAGCAGGGATTGATTTAAGTGAGGACTGTTTCTCACATGGGCAGTTTTACGTGGCCTGCTCAAGGGTAAGCTCACCTAGCAGTCTGGTGATTCTAGCACCTGAGGGGAAAACTACTAATGTGGTCTATAAAGAGGTCCTTAAGTAGGAAAAAAAGTTGTTAACAAAATTATATAAGAATAACAGATGTTAATCCCACATTGAATATATTGAAAAGATAAGTCAATGGTTTATTAAATGACCGGAAATAAGTTAGCGCAAGAAGTTGTTAATTATTTAAAATTAAAATTTATGTAAACATGACTATTAATAATTATAGAATTTTTGTTTATGTATTATATTTAGAGTATATAGTTATAAATATATATATATAAGATATATCTTATATATATAAATATCCTAAATTAATAAATAAAAAAATAAATAAAAAATAGAGAGGGATAGAGAAATACATTCTGCGATTGGCGCAGTAATTACAGACAAAATGCATTCTGCGCAGTGCGCAGTGATTACTTTATCATTAAGAGGGAAAAAAATACATATTATCTTATTTTAAATTAATAAATAAAAGTGAAATAGAGAGGGACAGA